CAGGGGAAAGGCACTTCGCCAGTTCGGAGCTGCCTCTCCACCGACGGGGGTAACAGCTACCACCTCTGGGCATCTTTGTTTTGTTTTTTGGTACCAGGGATTGAACTAGGGTCTCTGCACTTGGGAAACAGGCGCTGCAATCACTGAGCTAAATCCCCGGCCCTGGGCATCTTTATTAGACCACAGCCCATACCACATAAACCCATTGGGACTAAGACTAAATTGTCAGTCATGGTAGCACATGATCCCAGCACTCAAGAGGCAGAGATAGGAAGATTGCCACAGGTTCAAGGCCAGTCTGGGCTACATAGCGAACTGAACTACATAGTAAGACTTTGTTTTTTTTTTTTAAAAAAAAAGCCCCCAAATTAGGGTATCCATGGCACTGCATTCCTTTACATCCCCAGATTATCAAGAAGCAGTGATCCACAGTCCTAAAGTGCTATGAGAGATCTGATTTAGGAAGCTCTTAACTGTGACCCTGAAGACTCCTTTGTCCCCAAAACAAGAACATGGGCAGAAGATACACACAGAAAATGCATTGTGTAGCTAGTCTGTATCTCTGGGAGCTGGTCCTGACAGTTCTGCTTTTTAAAGGCCTGGGCTGTGTCACAGCGAGATTCAGCTCTGCTCAGCAGAAGCCCTGGCCAGCCCAGGAGTGTTGCCTAACAGCTTCGGCCTGTCCTCGCTGACCTGCTTCCCATTCCTCTTTCGGGGTCTGTTCTCATGAGAGATCAGGCCTCATGGGACAGGGGAATGTCCAAGGATATCCCTCCGGGCCAGCGGGGGCTGGGAGGAGGTAACTTCAAAAGTGCTTAGAGAGCTGGCCTGAGCCACTGGCGGACTGGGGGCGGGGCGACAGTCAGGCTCTTGGGCTGGGAGCAGCAACTTGCAGCTTAGAGCCTCCAGACCAAAGGCTAGCAATGTTTTTCCATAAAGGACCACAGAGCAAATACTTCAGGCTTTGTGGCCACATGGTCTCTGTCGTGACCACTACGGCACAGAGACAGCCACAGACAGCATGTGGACAAGTAAGCCTGGTGAGGCTCCAGCAGGACATCATCACAACAGCCTGCAGTTTGGATTTGGCCTCCGGGTGGTGATTTGCCAACCTCTGCTCTAGATGCAGGATGGGAATCTTAGAGGACAGGCTGTGGGCCTCCCCTTCAGCAGAACCTTGGTAGCCAAGTGCTTTAAAGGATGATCAGACAGTTCTGCTGCCTGTTCACTGTCTGAGCTAAGTAGGTGGCTTTTTACCTCCTCTTCTGGGCAGGGCCAGGTGTTCACAGAAAGCCCCTGAGTTTCAGCCTTCACCCAGAGCTGGCGGAAGATGATGAAACCAACCACAATCCTCCAGCAAAACACCCCAGAGCAGCACAGAAACTCCAGGTGTTTGCAAATAATTGCAAAAGGGTCCACAGTCCTCCAGAGCTTGTCATGGACCAGGGAAAGGGCCAAAAGCCCTAGGGTGAGATCCCTTGCTCACTCAGAAAGAGGCTCGTTCCTTTGTGTTTGAAAATACTCTTATAAAATGTTAAAAAAAAAAAAAAGAAAGGGATAAACACAACTCCATAGAAAAATACGAATGACACAGAGAAGTAATTTGCAAGAGATACAGCCAAAAAAGAGGTGAAAGGACGCTCTGTTTCACTCACAGTTAAAGAAATTTTAAAAAATCATAGTGTAGGGCTGGGGATTTAGCTCAATGGTTCCGCCACCTGCCTTGCAAGCGCAAGGATCCAAGTTCGATCCCTGGTACCAAAAAAAAAAAAAAATCATAGTGTATCATTTTTCACCAGGTTAGTTTGGCTAATGTTTAAATAAAGATGGATATAGTTTTAGAGGGCGATGTAAAAAAAAGCACTTTCAGATATGCTGGTAAGATTGTGTTACAGTACCACCTTTTTTTAGGAGGCCATTTAACAGCAAATATTAAAATTTAAAACATGTTTATGCTGTGACCCAGCAATTCCACTTCTAGGAGTTTATTTTACAGAAATACATATACAGGAAGTTCGCCTCAACAATATCCATAAATTTTAGAAACTGAAAACCAACCCAAATGTGTATTAGGAGACCAGGTGAATAATTATGACACATCTATATTATAAAATAATGCAGAACTGTTTGATAACGAAGAGGATCTCTAGAATATAAAATAAGAAGGTAGGGCCAAGGATTTAGCTCAGTGGTTCTGCTGCCTGCCTCACAAGTGCAAGGACCTGAGTTCAATGCCCGGTATCAAACAAACAAACAAACAAAGCAAAGTAAGGTAGATTTCGAAATACTGATGGGAAAAATCTAAAAGACACATGAAGTGGAAAAGCCAATTTTCAGCAGTTAAAAATAAAAAGAGACAGTTATAGTGGTGCATGTCTACAATCCCAGCACTCAGGAAGCTGAGGCAGGAGGATTGCTGTGAGTTGAAGGCCAGCCTGAACTACACAATGAGACCCTGTCTCAAAACACAAAGAAAGAAAGAAAGAAAGAGAGCACTTTTGGTATATACAAGATTTACAGCAGTACTGCAGAAAAACATTTCACAAACTGCTGATGGTAGACAGACATAATAGAATTTTATAGTTTATATATTTCTGAAACGTTGGATTTTTAAAAATTGAAATATTTTGGGCCAGGGATTTAGCTCAGTGGCACTGTGCCTGCACTGCAGATGCAAGGTCTTGAGTTTGATCCCCAGTACCAAAAAAAACCAAAAAAACAAAACAAAACAAAACAAAAACACAAAAAACAAAACTCACATTTGTTTTATAATCATAAAAAATAAGATAAGAGAAGCCAGGCGTGGTGGCACACTCCTATAATCCCAGCACTCGGGAGGCTGAGACAGGAGGACTGCTGTGAGTTCGAGACCAGCTTGGTCTACATAGTCAGTTCCAGGTCAGTCTCAACTACATAGTGAGACCCTGTCTCAAAAAAGAAAACAAAACAAAACAGAATTGGTGGGGAAAAAAATAAGATAAAATATTTATGGATCTATTAGTTGCTCTTAAAATATTAAAAGATAACTTCAGAGTTCACTTTCAAGCCTTTTTTTTTCTTTTTTTGGTACTGGGGGATCTTGCACTTGCAAGGCAGGTGTGGTGCCGCTGAGCTAAATCCTCAGCCCTCAAGCCTTTCTTAAAGGGCACTGTTATATATTTTATCTTTGTGTGTGTGTGTGTGTGTGTGTGTGTGTGTGTGTGTTACTAGGGACAGAACCCAGAGTCAAGGGTGCTGGGCAAGCGACCTACCACTGGCCCACACCCCCAGCCCCCGTTCACCTTATGCTTTGTTATGAGAAAACATCTCTCTACATTTTGGAGCTTAAATTCCTCAAGTCCCAGGGCCATCTGAGATTCATCACAGAGCCTGAGGGTGACTAAAATAATGGGCGTGATGCTAGAATTTTATTTTTCACCTTGATGAATGGGTTCATGGTTTTCACACTGTCCAAGAACAAATAGAACCACAACTTCTATTTCACAATTTACACAACTTAGTGGAATGTATATGCCGGACATGAACATATTTCTTACAGTTTCAACATGTTATCCTCTGGGAATTTGGAGGGAAGATGTATCTATTTTTCTTTTAAATCTACCTGGTTAAAATAACCAAAATAAATGTGCCCAAAAGAATACAATGTGTATCACCCTGACACCAACACAAAGTCACCAGATACTCTGCAGACACCCAACGCACAGCATGCCGCACGTATGGACTGAACTCTTCTCACCTAATACAGACTGCAGTGAATTTTCTATGTCCATGGCCCTGGGCCCACACAGGTAACCCTCCCAGCCTGGATAAAGCTAGCAAGGCAAAGCACAGGAAGGGCGAGGAGAGGAGACCTTGGGCTTGGCCTCTGGCGTGTAGCCTGCAGGCGATCACCGAGATGCCAGCACCTCTTCAAGCTCCTTACCAAAGGACCAGAAGTGCCCAGTGCTCCCTTGGAACAAAATACAAGCCTTTCAACAGCATGACTCACTGGCAGAAAGGGAAATCAGAAGCCAGAGTGCACTGCAAATAGTAATGGTACATTCTGTATCCTGAAAAGAACTTAATGGTAAACCGAGGCAGAGAACTTTCACTTTGGGCAGAAGTCTATTACTCTTACTTCTTCCCCAGCTCTGAATGGAACCTTGCCTGACCCAGAAGCATGCAGACAGCTCCTTTTTTCCTTCTGGGGAAGACTTTTCTTTTAGTACTAGAGATTGAACTCAGGACCTTGTGCTTGCTAGGCAGGCGCAGTGCCACTTAGCTAAATCCTCAGCCTTGGGGAAGACTTTTTTGTTTCTACTTGGATTTTCTTTCTTTCAATCTGCACCTTCAACAACTCCACACACACCTCAAAAGAAGCACATTTTGTAACATCCTATAGCTCCCAAGAAAGGGGTACTCAGTATGGCGAGAACCTCTCTCTCCCCAAAACCAGGCTTCTTTCTTTTCTCTCTTTCTCCCCCTCCTCCCTCCCTTCCTTCAGTATTGAGTATCACACATTTTAGGCAAGTGCTCTACCACTGAACAACACCCGAGCCTAGTGCCCTGGCATTGAGACCCCACACAGGTGCTCCTAAATTTGTTATTTGGTTCCGGCCAAAGGATGGAGCTGGGGGAATTCCAAGGGAGGCTTGTTTTTTGGTTGCACTATTCACCTGAGCTCCCAGAGACACTGACGATGAAAAGTAAAAGTGGGCCGTAGCCTTTTTTCTTTTTTCTCTTGTCTTCTCCAGGCTCATGACTACTAAGCTGCTTCCACAGTGCAGAGGCCAAGGTGAGGAAGCAGAAGACAATCACCCTCCGAGCCATGCCCTGCTGCCTGCAGGACCTCCTAGCTTGGGAGGCCAGGGAAGTCTTTGCTCTCAGCCCTCCCCTTCTTGGGTCATCCAGGATTATATAGGTGAATGGAAGGCAAGGAACGGAAACCAACAAAAGCTCCCTGAAATTCACAAGCAGATTATTGAAAAAAACAAAACAGAACAAAAACCATGGGTACTCACTGTTAATGAGGTAAAGGTCATGCACATCCCACCAAAGCCATTCAGAGCCAGGGCGATGAAGATGAGCACAGAGAGAGCTGTAGGAAAACAGAGTCATAAGTGGGGAGCCACAGCTGAGCTTCAGCAAGGCCTCCCTGGAGTAGGCTCTCAATAAATGCAAACTGAAAAGAGGAGGAGCCATTGGGTTTAGTACCCGATATCCTGTGAGGTGAAAGTCTCCTGCTTACCCTCCTCCCCTGGGCTACCGCACTGAGCTTGAATTCTTGCAAAAAGTACATCCTCCTTTCTCTGTTAACCTAGCTGCAAGCGAGCAGCCTGAAGGAGCTGCTTCATTAAAACAAAAACCTAAGTTTCCAAAAATCAGCACATAAGCCTTGCCAAGACTTTGGTGAAATTCAGGTCTTATTTTGGTGTTCGTTCTCAAGCCAACAGACCCATCTGAATAGAGATAGGGACCAGGTGGCTCTCAAGCCATATTCACTGGCCTGGGCTGCCTTGTAAAGGCTCAGCTCACAACTTCTGCAAACACAGAGGCCCATGTCCCTGCAGCCAGCCGGTTCCTAGAGCTCATCTCACAGGCTGACATCAGTGGGGCCATCAAGGACTGGCTGGCTTGAAGACAAGACAGAGTTCTGCACACCCTGGAAGCTCCTCTAATCACTGGTCTGGGGTGCTTACTCTCTTTCCTGGCCACCCATGTGAGGTTAGCAACCAAGTAGAGGCCTAATAGGTGTTCCTTTAGCTTGAGCAGGGAGCACCAGGCCCCGCTACACAGCATCCAAAAGCAGGTGGGCCAGGGAGCACTTCTGGGTAGTCTCTCACCAGTCCTTGACAAAATTTGGAGCAAAGGCAGACTCACAATTTGGGTTACTTGCTCCATATGCAATCAGCAAGCAGGAGACAGCAAAGCAGGCACTAAAACCAAGCAGAAACAGTACGTTATTTATTACGTTTTGGACTGTTGTTATATATTGTCATCATTTGGGAGTATTTACTCTGCGTCTTTTCAGAACATTTACAATCATTTGATTAAACAATCCTGGGAGCCAGGTGTAGCACAAGCCTATAATCCCAGAACTCTGGGAGGCTGAGGCAGAAAGATGACAAGTTCAAGCCCAGGCTGGGCAATTTAGTGACTTAGGGAGATTCTTTCTCAAAAAAAAAAAAAAAAATTCCCGGGGTTCTAAGGAAATAGCAGGGAGCACCAGGCCCCGCTACACAGCATCCAAAAGCAGGTGGGCCAGGGAGCACTTCTGGGTAGTCTCTCACCAGTCCTTGACAAAATTTGGAGCAAAGGCAGACTCACAATTTGGGTTACTTGCTCCATATGCAATCAGCAAGCAGGAGACAGCAAAGCAGGCACTAAAACCAAGCAGAAACAGTACGTTATTTATTACGTTTTGGACTGTTGTTATATATTGTCATCATTTGGGAGTATTTACTCTGCGTCTTTTCAGAACATTTACAATCATTATATTAAACAATCCTGGGAGCCAGGTGTAGCACAAGCCTATAATCCCAGAACTCTGGGAGGCTGAGGCAGAAAGATGACAAGTTCAAGCCCAGGCTGGGCAATTTAGTGACTTAGGGAGATTCTTTCTCAAAAAAAAAAAAAAAATTCCCGGGGATTTCTAAGGAAAACAATTGGCTCCTACTGGCTGAAAGAAAGACAAATATCATTTTAAAAAATATGCCAGGCACGAAGCTGCATGCCTGTATTCACAGCACTCAGGAGGCTGAGGGAGAATCACCACAAGTTCAAGGCCAGCCTGAACTACATAGCAAGACCCTATCTCAAAAAAACAATAAATAGGGGTGGGGATTTAGCTCAGTAGCTCTGGCACCTGCCTCAAAAGCGGCAAGGGCCTGAGGTCGATCCCCAGTACCAAAAAAGGAAAAAAATTTAAAAAATAAAAAGTAAAATAAGGAGGGCCGGGGATTTAGCTCAGTGGTTCCGCTGCCTCCCTCACAAGCATAAGGACACGATTTCGATCCCCAGTACCAAAAAAAATAAAAAAAAAGAGAAAGAAACTAAAACTAATTTTTCCAAGGTCTTCTACTTAGTAAGAGACAAAGTTGGAACTGAAGCCCCCAAACCAGATCTTGTAAACCCCACCCAAGATGGGAGAGGGCCAAGGCTCTGAAGCAAGGGAAAACATAAGCATTCCTCAGGTTCCTGAGCCCACATGGTGGGGCAGCAGGGAGATGACTGGCTAATCCCAAAGCCCCTCCACTTGGCTCTGCCCTGGGAACCAAGGCCTCTTCAGCTCCAAAGAGTCAGCGCAGCTGATGCCCCAATCCATCCCCTTCACAAGCATAGTTTCCAATGGGAACAGGGCAGGGGACAGGCGGGAGAGGCCACCCAGTGGTGACTGAGCCTGAGTCTGACAGCTGGAGCTTTAGAGACCAGGATCACATACCTCAGGGACACACGCCAGGGCAGTACCATTAAGGTGCTAATATATTAAGACAGAGATGGTGAACATTTTAGAGACCGAGTGCCAAACTGCAACTCACTACTTATTTATCACAAAGTGCCAATGCTGCACTCAAACCTGAACGCTGAGGTTTTAGTTCAGAAAAAGATACTCTACATTAGTATCTTTTGTCCTAAAAGAAAAACACAGTAACGTGTGTTCCATAGGGTCATCACTACATTAGGATTTCCTTTTTTTTTTTTTTTTTTGGGTACCGGGGATCAAACTCAGGACCTTGCACTTTCGAGCACCATTGAGCTAAATCCCCAGCCCAGGATTTCCATTCTTTAATCTCAAATAATTTTATTTATGTTAGTGTATTTAATTAATTTACGTATTTTGCTGGGCTGGGATGGAACCTAGGGCTTTGTGTAGGCTAAGCACGTGTTCTACCACTGAGCTACACCCTCACCCCCAGCCTGGGCTTTCAGGGAGCCTGATAGAGCACCTGACAGCAGGCTCCAGGATTCTCTCAGGAGTCCACTTGCCCACCCCTTGTCCCCAGGGAACCTACACTGACCTGCCCAGAAGCCTGAGCTTCCTTGGACCGTATTTGTCCATGATGATGCCCAGGGGCAGGGTGATTGCACTGAGCAGGAAGGAGCCCACGGTGAAGGCCAGATTTAGAATCTCATCCTGGGCCTTGCAGCTGAGCCAGCCATTCATCCACGTCACCTCCTCGTGCTCGGACTCTGCCGTGCCCCCGACTGTGCCATTGGTGACATTCTCTGCGTGTAGGGTGAAAGAACACAGGGTCATGGCAGGTATTTCCAAAGATCAGAAGGACAAGTGCACATTCACAGTCACCCCACTGGGAATGCCAGAGCTGGCTTTGGGTGCCTGAGGGTCCTAATGGCCTCACACCAGGCTTGGGTGTCCATTTTGCCCAAGTCCTAATTTTTGTAGGGGTCATAAACCCTGCCGAGAAACCAATAAAGCTGTGCTTCTGATTCCCAGAAAACATACAAAATCTCGTTCATAATTTCCAGGGGTTCACTGTCCCTTGAAGCACTCATGAGCCCCCAGGTTAGTATTCCCCTTCTAGAATATCCTATACCCTAGAGCAGTAGACCTTAGGACCCAGCCTTGGCCACAGCCCCGGACTGGTTAGAGCCTCCTCAGCAGCTTTGTGTATGGAAACAGACAGAAGGTAGACCACCTGGGAAGGACGAGGTGCTGCTCTCACTACAATGCCCTGGCTCTCCTCAGTCAGCTGGGGGAACTGAATGGGCTGCCTTGCCTCCTTTAGCAGTAAGTATAGCTGGTTTTTTTGTTTGTTTGATTTTGTTTTTTGTAATACCAGGGTTCGAACTCAGGGCCTTGTACGAGGCAGAGGGTGGAACCACTGAGCTAAATCTCTGGCCCTAGCTGGCTTTTTAAACACAGATCGAGCCACACACCATTTTCTCCCCTAGTGTTTTCAAAGCATCAACCTCCACATATACTGCATCTAAGAACCTCTTTGGAAAGGGATTTTTAAAAAATAGCCCAAAATGACTTGCTTTCACCTGTTGAGGTGACCCCCTTCCTTAGTTCCCTCACTGGGATCACAGTGTTGCTGTTGTCCGTGACCACACCCAGGCTGGCTGCTGAGTTCGAGCCCCTGAGCCTGATGCGGTGACCACACCCGCTGTGATTTCAGCCCTGAAGGGCTTCCTTCAAAGTCCACCCAGCACCAAAACACCTCCGCTGAAAGGGAATAAAATGTGCTGTGGCAGTTGAAGGTAGAAGATGAGAGCACCTGGGAAAGTGGCTGTGGAACTCTCTCCTCGCCCAGACTGCTAGTTAAGAGAGATGCTGACTAATCGTGCAGCAACAGGGCAGACTGATTAGATGCGAGGTTACAATGGAGAGTCAAGGAAATCCTCTCCTCCCTCAGATAACTGCCTGCCTCCCAATTGCAGCTCTGGCGCCAGAGCTGTAAACCTGAGGTCTGCAAAGCTGAGGTCTGCAAAGGCTTGCCCAGCCTTTCAGGGCTGCTCCAAAGTCACTGAAAAGAAAGCACCTGGGGTGAATCGTGACATGTCAACCTCTGACCAGTAAGCCCTGCTAGGGGCTTGTTGAACTGTGCTGGAGCCTGGCCTCTGGGTTCCAGTTTTGGTTTCTCTATTTCCTATTTGTATAATCTTGGGGAAATGACTTGATCTTGCTTTATTTCCTTACCTGTAAAATGGACATAATATAATAATAGAATTCACCTCTAGATCAATGGGAAAAATCCAGCTAACACTCTAGAACTCACACAGGCATGGGAATGTGTTCAATAAATAATAGCTAAAAGCTATCATTATTATTGCTTATTGGAGGCTTAGGATGGAGGCAATGGTGCAACTGGCCAGCAGCAGTGCCGGGAAGGAAGAGGGAGCAGAATTCTGTAACAGCATGTGGCTGGCATGATGCATATCTAGTCTCCCTCTGGGCTATGAGCTCCGTGGGCAGGGACTATGTTCAGGTTACCTCTGCGTCCCAGTACCTTTCCAGGCCCTGGCCACAGCAGCTGTTTACTGAATGAATGAAAACAATGAAACTGAATCTCAACAGCCAAAGTATCAAGAAAGAGGAAAAGAAATAGGATGAGCAGAACCAAGTATAACAGTGTGGGGATTTAGGGAGATTACAACCACAAGGTTAACTGCCTAAAACCACAGAAACAAAACCTCACAAGCTAGACTGCTGGCCCTACCACTTTCTGTCAGTTTTCTGAGAGACCATCACAATGATGGCCAGGACACAGGACAAACAGGGACCTCTGAGCCTGTAGGGATGCAACTCAGAACATTCCCAAGTGCTGCTGTGGTCTGGGCCAACTGGCTCATTCACTAAGCGGCAGCTCCTGGAAAGGCAGAGACGCTTCACAGGGGGGTGCTGGCTTCAGGTGTCAACTCTTCCAGCAGCAACAGGAACTGGATCTGCGGTGGTGGCCGGGTTGCCACATGGCAAAGACCATCTGCAGGTTGACGTCAGAGATGAACAAACTAACACAGGTGTGACAGCTTGGGCACCAGCCTGTGAGACCCAACAATGGACATGCAGGGTCTGGAGCCAGTTACTACACTTGAGGACACGGGTAAGCTCAGGGCTTAGGGTGCTGTAGGCTCTGTGGCTGCAGCAAGCAGCAGGAGGATGAAGAGTGAAGGGGCAAGGCAGCAGTCCCATGAGGAGGCCGCCAGCCTCAATTCCCCCACAGAGGAACACAGCTAGAGCCCTAATCTATGTCTTTTCTCATCAGGACATTGAAGATAAGTTCCCAAGACAATGGCTGGGGTACAGCACTTCCTAGCATAAGTGAGGCCCTGAGTTCCATCCCCAGCAACACACACACACACACACACACACACACCTTCCCCCTCCCTTATCTGCTAGAAGTGAGCATAAGAGTGGAAACATCTTAACTTCTGTACAGATCTGGTCATCCCTCTAATTAGACAGGGGCCCTAAAAGGAAAGGGCCAAGGGTACAGGCAGAGGTATCACTCTGTACTTCCCTCTCTTCATATAGGAACAGGGACCTACACTTTAGGTGACCAGACCTCTCTCTGTTTAACTTCCTGCCAATGGGGCCAGCTGGCCTTCTGCCCTTCTGCCTTCAGCCAGTGATGTCCAGCAACAGATGAGTCTGGGCTGGGGGCACTGAGAAGCTCTTGTGTGCCCAGGGAGCAATTTGAGAGTGCCCCTCACTCTTGGAGGGAATTAAACCCTGGGTGAGTCCAGAAGCTTTGTAAATTGTAAACAGCCCACACGAACAATCTCAGCATCAGCAGAGACCCAGACCCTTTCACACCTGGGCCGAGGTGGGCCAGTGGAGAGAAAAACAGATAAGCACCCGTAGCCAGGCATGATGAAGCACACCTGTGATCCCAGCACTTGGGAGGCTGAAGCAGGAGGATCAGCACAAGTTTGAGGCCAGCATGGGCTACATAGCGAGACCTTGTCTCAAAAACAAAATGAAACAAAACAAAAAACCAGAGAAGCATCCAAGTAGTACCAAACCCTAGGGTTGTCTCCCTGCTCCCAGCTTAGAGCTCAGCCCTTACCCAGCCCAGCCGGCTTGGCGCCTCACCTGCACCTGTTTATTAAACAGATGCCTCCCCAGTGGGCGGCCAGAACAGCCCAGCCAGGGAAGACAAACCAAGGCAGGCAAGGAATTGGTGTAGCCAGGGCATGCTGAGAATGGAACAGGCTGCTTAGGAGACCCAGGGCCAGAGAACAATGATCTGCACTGTTGGGCCCCACTCAGAAGACTGACAAACAAAATCTTCATAGAGAAACCAGCAGAGGAAAGATGCTATGAACCCACTCGGGTTCCCCTGAGCTTCCCTGGGTCAGAGAGGAGCCTCCCTCTATTCCAGGGAAACAGAAACAGTGGGAAGCCTCCACCGCAGCTCCCAGACGCAGCTAGAGGGAGTCAAGGGTGGCAACACCCTCTAAATTCCCCACTTCCCATCAGGGTGCAGACCCTGAATGCCCCTGCTGAGGGTACCTGCCCCGGGATCTCCTCTCCCCAATCCTGCGTCTATCCGGCAACAGGAAGCAGCATCCTAGTCCAGCAGGGGAGATGTGGGTGAGAGGTCAGCTCAGCCTCAGAGCAAACGTGAGGCAGGATGCACACAGCCAGAGAGCCGAGTCCCCCTGTGGGTCGCCGCAGCACCAGCCACTTTCCGCAGAGTGCCCGTGTGCGCAGGCCACTGTGTTCAGTGCTCTTTGCTAGCCCTTCCACTTAGGTCTCACTTTTCCACACAACAGCCTGGGAGTTTCAGAGCAGGTAAGTCCCTGCCGAAGGTCTCATTGGGAGCTGGTCTTGAATCCAGGCTGCCAGAGCCCAACACAGCTGCTTGGATCCTTTGGGCTGTGCTGATGCTGCCCTCCTGGCTTAGAAGAAGGCTGTGTCTCTGTCGCGGGGAAAAGGCTAAAAGGATGGAGCTGGGACAGGGCTCAATGTCGAGGCAGTATGGCCCAGAGATAATGAGCTGCTCCATGACTCTCCCACAGGGGCCCTGAAAACCAACCCACGCCAGACATACCAAGAAGCCAGGGAAGGCCACGGGATATGTGGAGTCAGGGGAAGAACTGGGCCACGATGTAAGGATGAAGGCAGGGTTCGCAAGAACAGCGAGGGGCTGTATCTCTGTGACACATCCTCACTGTTGCCTTGGCAACAGCCTTTAACCATCTTACTTGTTCCTATGCATTTTTTTTGTTTGTTTTTTGAAACAGGGTCTCGCTGTGCAGTTCAGCCTGCCCTTGAACTCACTATGTAGCCCAGGATGGCCTCGATCTCCTGGTGATCCTGCTGCCTCAGCCTTCTGAGTGCTGGAATTACAGGCATGTGCCACCATACCCGGCTTTGCTATGGAATTTTAAAAATTCAAAATAAACTGGAGGTGGGCTGAGGGTGTAGCTCAGTGACAGCATGCTTGTCTGGTATGTGCAAGGCCCTGGGTTCAATCCTCAGGACCATAAAAATAAACTGGGTAAAAAGAATTAAGAACAGTCACATTCATAGCAATAAAATGAAAGGTTGGGGCCAGGGATTTAGCTCAGTAGCACCACTCCTGCCTTGGTAACACAAGGTCACGAGTTTGATCCCCAGTACTGGGAAAAAAAAAGTGAAAGGTTGAATTTTTGAAAGGTGTCACCCATCAGCCTATGGCTGTGGAAAGAACCTATAAAAAAAGAGGACCCTAAACCAGCTGGGACTCTCATGTGCACACAGGCACCCTGGCTTGGCCTGGTGGGGACCACAGTTGGCCTTGGTTCCCTGAGGGATGGTGGCCCCGCTGCCCTCTCAGGGTCCCAGGGGCAGCTTTTTGCTCTGCCAGGTGAGAGGAATGCGCTCTGCCACTGCAGGCAGCGTGACTGCATGGTCGAGAGTGCAGACTGGGGTCTGCCTTCATGTCTGTGGCTAAGCTCTGATTCCCTCTAGCAGAGGTCATGAAGATTTCCACCTTCGGAGCCTTCATCCCATGCAAGCCCTCCGCGATTCATAAGATCCTCTAAGAGGTGAACTAGATCATGACCCTCCTTTCCATCCATGGCATCTTCCTGCCTTTGGAATAAAATCCAGTCTCAAGTGGGCTCCCTGGCCCTGTACACCCTGGCCCCTCTCTGGGTGCCAGTCATCTCTGTTGCCAGCCCTTCTCTCTTCTCCCCCAGGGCAGACTCAGGTCCTCCTCACACCTCCTCTCCTGACTCACCCCTCTTCACTCTGCAAGTGTCTGCTTAAATACCAGAGACTTCCCACCCAATCACAACCAGATCCCCACTGCTGGTCCCTGCACCCTGGGCTCCAGGGAATCTGTGTGTGATAACTTGCTGGCTCTGAAGCCCTGCTGCACCTCAGTGAATGTTCACTGAATGTGTGGGTGAGAGGAAAGAAGAAACTGGCCCTCCACAGGGAAATCATCCAAGCTAGCTGACTCTGTCCAGATGGGCCACCGAGTGACAGAGGAAATGAAGAAAGATGTTAAGTATGGTGGCCACAGACAACAGGTTACTCGGACTCCAAGAAGCAAGGAGCAGGGAAGCCAGATAGATAAGCTGTGAGAAATCAGCAGGCTTTCCCGCCAAGGATGCTGGGTCAGCAGGTTTGCCAGATAATCAGAAAAAACAAAATCAGATGCAGGAGCAAAGATATGGGATAAGAAGTTGATGTTCAACCCACAATCCTGACCCTTTACCTTCACCTTGGTCTGTAGGAGCAACCTGTCAGGTCTCTCAAGGGCTTAAATACCAACTCAACATTATGTTGGCACAATCTCTGGGACCCCCCCACTGGAAGGAAGGAAGAACCCAAGACTGCAGCAGGAGTGAAGTGACCAGAGTCACGCTGCCAATATCATACAATAAATCAAATCAATGGACAATAAAGAAACAAAAACAGACCACCTAGAATCTGACCTTCCTGACACCACAGTAAGAGAGGGAGAAAGAAAAGAATGTGACCACAACAGTCCTCTGGTATTGGTGAGATACGGCATGAAAAGCTTTATTTTGAGTAGACTTTTTCTATTTTCCAAACCATCTGTGTACCCCGAAAAATGAAGCGTCAAACACTCTAACCTGTTCCTTCCAGAAGGGACATTAATCTCCTGACATCTCTTGGGCAAAACAGAAAGCTTGCTCAGGGAACAAGGTCTGACTCTCCCATCTTCCAGGATTTCTTGCTGATGTGGGGAAAGGCCTGCCAAGAACCTTTAGGCTCTTAGGAAATATTTTTGAGTGGCTGAAGACTAAAGGTTGCTTATAAATGATATACTTTCTGCCCTCTCCCAGGTGGCCTCTGTATTCCCTCCCTTTCTCCTGCCCATAACCCCTCCTGCTATCTCCCTAGACACGGAGACACCCAGAGATCTTCTTGGCAGGTCAGAGAAGGGAAAGAGGGAGTGTTACAGAGAGTGCAAGCTGGTCCACAGCGTTCTCTTTCTGTTAAGAAAGATCTTTAGAAAGAAAAGGCGTATTGCTGGTGACCCAGGAAGTCAAACTAGGGCTATCTCCATCAAAGGGACGCAAGAGCTGGGGAGAGAGGTTATGTGAGTTCAACTCTTCTGCAGCTACTGCTGGAGATGGAAAAGGCAGAAGGAAGCGTTTCTATCCAGGCTGCCTAAGGAGGGTGGGGAATGGGAGCTGCTCCGGCCCTACAGTTGGGAGGAACCCACCAACCTGCAGTAGTCATGGTAAGGTTCCGAGTTAGGGTGGGGGTGTGGGTTTCACACAGCCGAGGTTCCACAGACTGCCTTCAGCTACACCAACAGTGGGCCTGAGAGAAAGGAGCTAACTTAGCATCATGCCCAAAAATGTCCCCCTTCCTATTCCTGCCCGGGAGGTTGGAAGGCCACAGTGATGTTCTCATGGCCCGTGGGAGGAAATGGCCTTTGGAGAATCATAAAGCTGCAGAAAACAGACAAGAAATTATATCCGGCAAGCCCTTATGAGACTCCATAATGGCTTGACTGAAAAACATCTAGATTCTAGATGAAACCTCTGGGTGGAGGCGAAGCCACTTCCTCTGTCTTGCTCTACACCAGCCCCTAAATCAGGAGTTCCTCTTTCTTACAGTCAGAGAACAACTTGTTTACAGCAAGCCTAGGGATGTTCAGTCCCTGGGAGGGCAGGAATCCAGCAATGTGGCTGCTGGTGGAAACAGAACTCCTGCATGTGGGAGTTCTGGGTCTATCACTGTCCTCAGCTTGGGCAAAGCAGAAGACTGAGCCTCGGTTTCAAGGACAACAATACTGAAATGGACGCAGCACACCTGGGTGAGGATCAAACAGGCCTTTCGATAACCGGGAGGCGCTGTGCAGTCCGGGCACAGCCGGTTAGGTCTTCACTGCAATCCGCCTGCTCCCAAAGCGCCGACTCAAGAAACCGACCCCAACCCAAGATGCCCATCTCACCTGGCTCCGTACACAGGTAGGAGTAAAAGCCCTCCGACTTCAGCATGATGAGCAGCGAGCCCCAGCCCAGGAGGACTGCCGAGAAGAGGAGGTTTTCCAATACTGCCGTGCAGGCCATCCACCAGCGGCGCCGATGGGCAGTGGCC